TTCCCAAAATTCTCCAAAACAATCAATTTGCATTAAGAATATCTTGAGCTCTTGCAAATGCTTCAGAAAAGTAGTGGACTTGAACGAAATTATTAATCAATCAAAAAAGCGATCCCTCATTGTTTTTTTGCAAAACTGGAATAAGGAGGAATAAGAAGAATAGCCTTCATATTATTGTGATCACAAAATTAGTCAAGGAATCTTCAAATAACACCTTATTGTGAAATTTTCACTTGACAGTTTACAAAAGCACAAACAACCGCATCACGTGGTTCGTTCTACAATAGCTTTCTCAAGCGTTTTTTCAACGACAAAACACAAGTACTACAGGAAAATCCTTAAGGCGCTCTTAGAGCGGTGCCTGTGCAAAAGTAATGATTCACATTACTTTTGCACACTGAAGATTGAATCCATTTGGAAAAACGTTCTCAGGAAGTTTATTCCACATAAACGCAGTTCTCCAAATGAAAAAGTTCTTGAACTGTGAAGTTCGAGATGAACTCAGTTGAACCTCAAAACGATGAGCAGCTACAATCCGTCGCGTATTTCTGACGTGTATCGCTCATCTTGGTGGAGTCAAATGTGCCAAGTCACTTGAACACTTCCCGTGAAAGTATATATAAAAGAGAGACAAATCTCCAACCCTTCTTCGATGTTTCAGACCATCAAGGTTGCAAGTGATGTTCCTGTCTCCAACCAGGCGAATGGCTCTTTTCTATATGGAATCCAGCAGCTTCAGGGTATGCTTAGGGGCGGAGCACCATACATGAGAACAATACTCCAAAGAAGGTCTGATCTGAGTTTTATGAAGCATCAAAAGTTGCTGAGGTGTTCCAAGCTTTTGAGAAGGATGCCTGTTATTTCGTATCAAACTTTCGTGGCAAGAAAATATCCAATTTTAGTCAGAACAATTATTTTATTAACAATGTCAAATTTCATTCAAACTCTTCCTTTTCAATAACACCATAACAACAATAATTTAACGGTAATAATATCAGGAAAATAAATAAATAACTCAAAATTAATCAAATAATCAACATTTCTCCCCCCCGCTAGAAGAATCAACTCAGTCTTCTAGTTC